CAGGTGACTAAGTGATGCACAGGGAGATGGCAAAATCATAATATTCTATAAAATAGTTGGATGTTGACAAATAAAAAGGACAAGGAAACATTTGAAATTAATGGGTCATAGGCAAATCTGGATATGCTACACAAATTCACTTCCTCAGGAAAGCCTTTTCTGACCAATTTACTCCTCCCCCTTTAGACCAGAGCCCCAGATGATGTAATCTAATTATAATTACATTTTATTTCAGGCTTTTATCACAACTCTTACTAAATGTCATTAGCAACATTATTTGTTTATTGTCTCTCTTTCTTGTTAGACTGAAATTTCCAAGGGTATAGGGTTTATGTCATTCCCAGTAATCTTTCAAACAAGAAACAGGATAAAAGCATTTTTAAAGGCTAACAAGAGCAACAGGCAAACACTTGAGTATAGTGATTATTGTATTTTTTTTTTTTTTTAAGATTTTCTTTGAGAGAGAGAGAGCACAAGCAGGGGGAGCAGCAGGCAGAGGGAGAAGCAGGCTCCCAGCCGAGCAGGGAGTCTGATGCAGGGCTCGATCCCAGAACCCTGGGATCATGGTCTGAGCCGAAGGCAGATGCCCAACTGACTGAGACTCCCAGGCGCCTGATGATTGTATTCTTGAAGTACTCTCACAAAAATACATTGAAAATTATAGACTTTTGCAGGGTCTGAAGAATTCTCTAAATGACTAAAGAATAGGCACATTAGCCTCCATGTCAGAGAATTTCCATGGACACAACTGTCTTTACTACAAGCAGGGAGCTGACAGCTGTGCTTGCATTTGGAGACCTATGATGAAGAATATGCTGAATGACCAAGGAAGTGTAAGTTAAATTAGAAAATCAATAAATCATTTAGGCAGGCATTTTGGAAGAGTCGGAGTAGATACAGGAAAGTTGCAAAGTTGGGCTGGTTATAAACATCACCACTTCATCAGGATTTCCTATAAGGCACACTGAAGGAAATAACATCATATGGGAAGGTAGAGTAACAACAACAGCAACACAGCTAAATTAGTGAACACTTACTACATGCCAACGTGGTGTTGGGCCCTTTAAAAGCTAAGTAACTTGCCCAGGATGCCACAGCTCATAATGGTTGGACTGAAATTGGAACTTGACTGCCTGCAGTGAAGATGCCATACACCCAAGAAAGCAACTGCAACACTTTTCATGCTAGGAACATGTAGGAAATGGATAGTAGGTAGCTATTATCTTTAGATGCTGCAGTTTCTGCATATGAAAATGGGGATACTTGTGGTACCTATTAATAGGGTTTTAATGAGGATTATGAGATAAACTATAAAAAGCTCTTAGAAAGTGTCTGGCACATAGAATGAATATACCAAACGTTACCTGTGATGATGATGAGGAGGAGAATGGTGATGATGATGATGATGATGATGATGATGATGATGACGACAATATAACTAACATAGGAAATGGGAAATATCCTGAAGATGGCCAATAAAAATTCACTAAGGGCTTTAAAGGGACAGCTACAAGCATTCCAGTGTAAGCAGAGTTGTGGGAAGAGCAGGAAGTCCACCTCTGATGCAGGAAGCTAAAGTCAGAGCAGAGGAAGAGAATCAGAGGCATAACCCAGCATCATGTCCATCCTTGGGCTTCTTCTCATTCCTTCCCATTACCCCAGATGAGCTCACATACTCACTGGCTTTCGCTACCATCTATGCTCCAATAAATTCCAAATGTTCATTTGTTAGTTTAGCCTCCTTCCTCTGAGCTCTAGGATTGCAAATTTGAACTATCAACTTGATATAATAACAACAACAACTCACAGAAACTGTATTCTTATTATATGCCAGCCACTGTTTAGCTCCACTGGATTCATGTTACAAGAGAACTCAGCCTGTCTAAATTGGACTGTGTGATCTACTCTCTAAAACCATCTTCATCTTCCCACGACCATGTAGTAGCTCATCCTTGACATCTTCTTTTCCGCTTACCTCTGCTTATCTAAATAAACCCAAGTCCTCTCATTTCCATTTCCCAAAACTCACCTCACCTCTTCAATATACTGCTCTTTCCTAGGCAACATCCCTCTCACTTGAACTACTGCAACATCTAGACTCCTCATAAACACTCTGGGCTCCTTTTATACTTTTCTCAGTCCAGCATCAAAGTGCAAATCGGATTGTTTCTTCCCAGCAGAAAATTTATCAATGGCTGCTTATTTCACTTACTGATTAAAATGCAAACTCCTATACATGCCCTACAAGACACTGTGAGGAACGCTTCCCACTCTTACATCTCAGGCCTGATTCAATGGTGTGCTCCCCTCCAAATTCCAGGTAAAGGGGTCCTCTTTCAGTTCCCCAAAAGCAACCACCTCTTCTCTGACTCAGAGTCTTCTCACATGCTGTCCTCTTTGGAAGGACTTCCAAACTTCCTCTGGAAGTTTTCTCCTGTGTCTTCATCTGGCTTCAGCCTCTGAGTCCTACGGCTCTAAGCATAAATGATCCTGCCTCACAAAAGCCTCGATTCCCCAGATCTGTCAGGTCTCCCTCTTTACACACTCTCACATCACCACCTACTTTACCTCCGCAGCACATTCCATAGGTATAATTAGCCATGTGGCTTTTTGTGTAATATTTCTCCAGAGATTGGAAGCATTTGTAAGTACCTGTCCTGTTCACCTCTATCTTCTAGATACCAATCCATTGCTTGAAGTAAGAACATCCCGCTGAATACTTGTTAAATGAGTGAAAAGAGAGCCTGTACTAAATTTTACAACTAGCAGCTGCCTTCACAAACTAGGGCAGTGATTAAGTCAACCATTTTCCGTGAATGGATACCTCCACAAGTCACATTGGCCTCAAATAGGGTGATAATATAAACACTGTGAATGGCAGTGACCACCTTGACCACAGCCATAAGTCAGGCACATCCAGAAGGTACCTTTTATTGAATCTTACTCAAATACCTATTTTTCCCATTCTGATATTTTTCAGAATTTGGCATGGCTAGAGTTGCTTTGTAATGCATGTGTATTTAAAAAGGAAAACATCTGTTTTCCACCAAGGAAGCATTAGCCATTATTTAATTATATACCATTAACAAAAGGCAGAGGGAGAAATTATATTTTGGAATCCTAAGCCATTCTGTATACATAGAAAAGAACTGAATATATACAAACATACATTTTGCAAAGTATTGTGATCTCTGCAAGGGGAAGCATCTACTTGTCACTGGAACCTATCTTTCCCACTATCTTCCACCCGCCATCATCCTCAAGTAAAAATCAATTTCTCCTAAATGCAATAGAATCACGTTGAAGTTGGCAGTACAAGAAATGTTGAAAAAAAAGATTGCCATCTGGAAAATGAGTATTAATAACTAAAGAACTTCAGGTTCTAACATAAATGAAAGATATTTAAAAGATCTTGACAACATTCCCCTTTCACAAAATTAACTGTATTTTATAGTGTTGAAAAATGCATTGGGAGGCTTCAAATACATTACATGAATTTGCTAAAAGTAATTTAGTGGTATTAAAAATTGACAAAGAACATGCTCTTCTCTGGGAAGAAATGTGTGAAACTGTGTCATGTTAATTGAACCCTGCTGTGGTAGGCAAGTCAGATGCTGATTTGCATGGAGTAAGACCAAGAATACACTCTGTCCCTAGAACTGTGGTTTTTCTTTGGGATGGATGGGCAAATAGCTGCACTTGGGGGCACTGGCTTTGTTTGATATATTAAATGGAAAAATGCCTTTCTATTGCAACTTTCCCTCCTTCTTTGTATTTAGAAATTATCAAGGAAACAATCTTTTTTTTTTTTTTTTCACTTCTCTCAGTGTTATGCCAGCCAGTGAGGCAAGACAAGAAAACTACCCCACTACTGCTTGCTGTTTGTTCTGCCTGTATGACTTAAAGGAGAAAATGTCTCCCAAATCCCCTTAATTGAGCTACAATGTATACATCACTGTATGCCTAATAGCAGGGCATTACGACTACTGCCAATGAAGCTTTCAGGATCTACTATAACCTTTGTTGCTTTTATTCTTCTTCAGAGTCATGGGAACAAAAGTATTAACCTAATCTCTCCTTGTTTGCCTAGACCATACGATGTAAAGTCACAGATAAATTTTTGGCTATGTTTTAGGGGAGGTTATATGAACCAGAGAAGCAGAGGCAGCCGATCTGCAGAGAGGATAATGGAAAAAGAGCAGAGAGGAGCAATGAAGAAATATGATAGGGAGTCCTAGGAAGTCTGAGGTCTTGCTCTATTAATCTCTATCCTATGGATGCATCAACAAAGAAGTCAGACAAATTCTTCCTCTGTTACCTTAGGCATCTTTTTGAGCAACTGACACTCAACCCAATTGGGCTATCATGGGAGAGGAAAGAAATCACCTAAACTGGACTATATATACTTCCTTAGGGAAGGCACCGCATGTAATGGTCTTGGGCACTGGGTTAAGCCTGACACAACAATAGGTGCTGAGTAAATATCTCTTGAATGAATAAATGATCATTTCCTATGTAGGAGTACATAAGGGTAGAAGTGGTGGAAATGACTACCGTGGTACATGAATTGCCTCTATTATATCAAGAGACATATCAAGCACAAATGCTTGAAAACCTATAGAGAGACAATATAATCTGGTGGTTCAGGGCATGTGCATTGGAACCAGACTCAAACTGAATCCCATCTTTACCACTTGCAGGTATATGATCTTAGAAAGGTAAGTAACCTCTCAGTGCCTCAATTTCCTCATTTGTGAAAAGGAAATAATTAGAGCATCTACCTCAGATAATCTTTTTGAAGATTACGTTGAGCTAAAAATTAATATATTAGTGCTTAGAACAGTGCCTGGACAAAGTAACCATTCTATGACGGTTAACTGTTGTTTTAAAAAACTTTCGTATCTATTACTAAATATCTAGACAACAGTACTAATCAACAAGTCTTGCATTATTATTTAATTTTTTTCATGTCTATTTGTCCTTTCAAAACAATTTCTACAGTGTTGAACAACAAGGAAGATAGAAAAGGATCTCTGAGATCGTCATTTTCCAGGTAAGGGACCAAAGCCCAGAGCTAGCAAGGGAGTTGTCCAAAAGTACATCTCTCATGGCAGAACCAGGCCTAGAATTCATATCTAGCTTCATGTTATTCTCAAACATCATACCCAAAGAAAAGAATTAAAAATGAAGTGTATGTAAAATGGATAACCCATCATTGAGATGCTAAAATGTTTAGTATGGGACTTTAACACTTGATTATGTTTGGTAATAGTAATCAAGAGTTATAGCCCTCAGTAACTTGTAGGAGTTTTTGTGAGATAATTTGTTATACACATTAATTGTAGAAAAGCCTGAATTTTTCTCTAGTTATACAACTTACAGAAAATTGATGAAGAATGTTTAGAGTAACATGAAGGTCACTGTGATATCCCAGAACCTAAGGATAGTTTTTATTAAAAACAAACACAAAAAACCCATTTGGTTTTCCACAACAAATTACTGGGTACTCTAAGAAAAAAATTCAGTTATAAAACAATTTTGAGCATTGTTCAGACTAATTATCATTATAATGTAAGCTGTTACTTTTGTGGTCTGGCAGCATCCAACTGGACAGGTGTTTAGAGTTCATGCATGTCAGTGTGAATACTTATCTTCAATAGCCACACCTCAGGAAAAGCAAACTTCCATGGTTTTTCCTATCATCTGAACTGTTAAGCAGTTATAAATCCAAGACATTCATTTAGTTGAGAATAGTGTTTTTATCACCAATTCTATTTCTCTGTTTTTATAGTGCATACAAATCACAAAGTATTTAAATACAGTTTTCTTTGAATATATTTTATACCTCAGCAAATACATATTTAAGTTTAAAAATTGGCACTAATTACTAAACAACAATTGAGACTCAATCAGGTTTCAAGGAAGTCATACAAGATTCCCTGAATTGAAAGAAAAAATTGTAATTTCTTTATGGTTTTAAAATTCTGAAACAGCAAGTTGACCACTGAATATTTAGATTTTAGCTTATAATAACTTCTTCAGTATTGAACTGAATATGTGTTAATATATATATATATATATAGTCTAGAAAAATGAAACTCAATGCCTGGTTATCTCTTCTACTCTATTTTTTTTTTTTTCCAACAAACCTTTCAGTTATACCACAAATTACTCTTAATACTTGCTGTAATCTTCAGAAATAATACTTTCCTCAAGAAAATGTACTGAAAGAGAAGGTATACCATAACTCAACTGAACTAAACTATAACAAATCTCTCTAGAAAGAGATAAAAGTTTTGTTTTATCTAAAACATTTTAGTAACCTAAGAATCTTTCATTCTAAAAACTATGAAGAAATTAACTCATGTGACCAGTTTAATAGTAATATTTACTTATACAAAGAGAGAAGCCTTCTGTTTTACCATTAGGACCATAAAGAAAAACAATAAAAAATGAGAGATGATAGATACTGTGTTAACTGGAGAAAGAAAGAGCTTCTGTTAGGGCAAACCTCTTGATATGTTCAGTACTATTTTTCAAGAGTCTCTTTCAAATTTATTTTTGAAATCTCCTTCTCAAATACAGTATTAATAGGAAGCTATAGTTGAAGAAAAAGGGAAAAATGCCCTTTAGCTGACTATCAGATGTTTGAGAGTTTGTCCTCCGTATCATTCTGCTCTGTGGTGAATAGCATTGTTCAAAATGATATTTTCTAAGGACAAAGAAAAAGTGGGTTGGAGATCAGTTTCACATGTATCTGAATATTTGATTTCTATTTTAATCTAATATGAAGATGTAGCTGTTTATATTACTTAGGAGTGATTTCCTTAAAACTCTTCCCAGATTACATATGTTGCTGTACTTCAATGTGTTTATAAAGAATATAAATTAAATTTCAACTTTAAATGAGTTTGAAGCTTAAATAGTTTCCAGATATTAGAAGAACTAGTTGGAGATAATCTAGGTAAACCTTTTAAACAATGTTCACTTGGTTCTTTTGAGGAAAAAAAGTAGACATATTAAATGGAAGATACATGTATTTTCTTTTAAGGCTTCTATATTCAATACATAGCCTGATTCTTTCTCTCCAGTTGCATGTAATTTTATTAACTGTGCAATTTTAAACAATGTTTATGAAATGAATTGCATCAAATAGAAAGATTTGTTGAGGATCATTACTGTATAGATAGACAGGTAGTTATAGTTTAAATCTCTAATGTCGCTTACATATTTCTAGTCCATCAAGCAATACACATGTGTTCTGTTTAACAAATCTGCTGCAGAATAATTACAACTTGTTGGTGGAGATCTTAAGCAGTTATAAGGGATCATCTCCTTAATACTTCAATGTTAGTGAAGAGAAGCTTTAAAATTACCCGAGAATGATATTTCTGTGTCTCACTTAATTAAAATGCTCTATTTCTTCTACAAGAATCAAATGAGACACTTGTTCAATCCTGAAATTTTTAGATTAATTGAAAACAAAGTTGCTATCTCTTACTAGAAGCCCTTCTTACATTTATGAGTGAGCATTAATGGATAGTGTAAATAAACAGATGCACTTACCTGGAATTAAAGTTGAAAGCGCCGACAATGCTTCACAAAGTTTCAACAGAAAAGAAACTGAAACAGCAGCATCCACTACCACCGGCATAGGCTTTTTGGCTTCACAAGTGGTAGCATTTCCAGTTATGGCCCAGTACCCTTGTGTTATGTAACATCTTATTAATATTAGCCATCAAACTGCTACCAAGCTGGTGAGGCACTAGAGGGCAAGAGTGTCACATGCAAGACCCGTCGCCAAGGGACAGGCTTTGGTACCACTTCGGGAAGACAGATGCTAACTAAGCTGATAAATAACACGATGCCTGAACGCAACAGCGAAGTTGAAATGTTCCTAAAAGAATATTTTAAATGTCAATTTTCTGACGAGCTGCAGAGTTAACAGGTTAATAAATATGCATAAGCAAATAACCACACCATGCAAAAGTTTCGGGATTATATTTGTAAACCTACAGTCATCCGGGAGGCTATTTTTTTTTTTCATTGTCTAAATAAACTTATTTAAAACATAAAAGGAAAGGCTAATTAAATAATAACTAGTGACAGTTTCAGGACCCCTTCAAACCGCGAGAAACTTGTCCTGATCGAGAGTGCCACCTCTGGAGTCCGCATTCCGAGTCGCCGGGGTCGGGTTCCTGGGCGAGGAGCGGCCCCGTCCGTCATCCACGGTGATTACCTCGGGCTGCAGCCGTCCGCGGGATCCTCCTTCCCGGGGTACTCGGCCTCAGCGACTCCCCGGGGGCAGCCCCGCGGTCCGGGCGGCGTTTGGAGGGGACTCGGTGCCGGGAGCCGGGCGGGGGCGACGCGGACGGACCTTCCCTCGCCCGCCCGGGAACCCCGCGGATACCGCCGGTGGGCGACTGGGGCTGGTCCGGAGCGCGGGCGGCGCAGGGCTGGCG